TGGATCAGACCAATAGACCATCTAGTCCAGCATCCTATCTAACACTTTGGCTGACCAGTTCCTCTGAACAGCCAACAACAGGGCATATGAGCCGAGACCTTCCCCTGATGTTGCCTCCTGGCACTGGGATTCAAAGAATTAGTCTCATCTTTAAACAATTCTGTAAAAAACCCCACACATATTGTGTTGAGGGGAGGGGTTATATTTCTACCGCGAACCAAACGCCGTTGGATCCTGGATCAGAAACATTCTCACAAAAACAAAGCAAAACCCAAAAAAAAAATGTGATGGCAGATGTATTTATTTATTTATTTTATTGATTTTTATCCCGCCCTTCCAGCCTAGGATGGCCCTTACGGCCTAGACTGGTGTTTCACAGTATGTAACTATCCATAGTTGGAAAAGATACTCTGACATGAGACAGAATGTTGCTTTTGCATAGATCTACCCCACCTTTTGGAGCTGCGGTGGCTCAAGTGGTTAAGACGCTGAACTGCAGGCTGTGAAAGGTCGGTCATTCAGCAGTTCGAGACCCCGGTGCCGCATGACGGAGTGAGCTCCCGTCTCTAGTTCCAGCTCCTGCCAACCTAGCAGTTCGAAAGCAAGAAATTGCAAGTAGATCAATAGGTACCACTTCGGTGGGAAGGTAACAGCGTTCCGTGTGCCTTGGTGTTTAGTCATGCCGGCCACATGACCACGGAAACGTCTTCGGGCAGCGCTGGCTCTTCGGCTTTGAAACAGAGATGAGCACCACAACCCTAGAGTCGGATTCGACTGGCTTTTGAGCAAGGGAACCTTTACCTTTTTAAAAGGCAAAGGGGTTAACCCAGCTGGCCTCTGAGTGGTGAGTTAAGAGGTTGGTCTAACCCACAGTAGGGTTTTGATGATCTTTAGCAAGCATCTGAATTAGCCTTGTGATTTAAGTTGTGCGTCTACGGATGCGCTATCAGCCCAATGGGGGGGGGCCGTGGCCAGTGGGGTCATGACCAGGGAGTGTGGCTTGCTTCCCCCAACCCCGGCATCTTTCTGTAAAAGTCCCTGCTCTTCCAGGCGAAAGGCTTGGGACATTCCTGGTATCACGCATGGGAGAGCTCAGCATCTGTGGCCAGTTTTCCATCGCTAAGCTGAGATGCCTCAAAGACGTCTCCAACTGCGTGTGTAGCTTTCCCCTGTGCAGGTGTGTAGCTCTGTAGGATTGTGGCCTTTTATCTTGGCATCTAACGGTAACGACTTAAGACCATCCTCAGTGGTGAGGATAAGGTTCTCTCTGGATACTTGCCTGGTTTCTAGCGCTTGTTCTCACCGCACTTGTATCCTCGTAGAGCGTGGCCGCTCCGTCCCTGCCTCGGAACACCAATTCCGTACCCGTCTGCTCTTCAAGTTTTTGTTCTGGCTGATGGACTCCTACGTTGCGCAACTCCTCTGGTCTTTCTTCTATATCACAGAGGCTGAGTTTCAAAAGAACTTGCTCTTTTTCTTCAGAAAGGCTGTCTGGAGGGAGCTGCAGAGCCTGGCAGTCAGGTATGTTGTAGTTAGAAGGCTCTCTCTCTTTCTCTCTCTCTCTCATTGCACTTTAAATTTAGACACCTGCTTTCCCTCCCCTGTTAGGATTCACCAGGTTTTTTCACAACATTTTAGGTATTCAAACTGACTCAGAGCGCACCAGCACCAACAGCAGCATAACAGTGGCAGGGTAAAATCTACTCTGTTCCCTGAACCTTCAGATGTTTTATTTTCAAGGTGTTAGAATTTGAAGCTGCTGATCTTCTGGGTGACTCTGGGCAATTCTGCATCTGGCATTCGCTCCACATTTCTCAACCGGGAGGAAAAGGTCCAGCTCAAAACCACATTCAGGTACCCTGGGGGGCAATGCCGTACTGACTGCGAAGTCACCCCTGAACGGCCATAAATCTATGCGGAAGGTACCATAGAACCTGGCGATCAAAGAAAGCGAAAGCGGCGTGCAGTGTAGAGGGTACCATAAAATCCAACGATCAAGGGAAGCAAAAGCAGCATGCAATGCAGAGGGGAATTTCTGTCCCAGGGTGGGTTTGGTAAAACAACGGAAGGAAAAGCCAGTGAAGAATGGACGGCTTCAAAAGGGAATTAGATAAGCATATGGAGCAGAGGTCCATCAGTGGCTATTAGCCACAAGGTATAGATAGGGGATCTGGGGCAAGTGATGCTCTGTCATCTTGGTGCTTGGGGGGGGTCAACAGTGGGAGGGCTTCTAATGTCCTGGCCCCACTGGTGGACCTCCTGATGGCACCTGGTATTTCTGGCCACTCTGTGATACAGAGTGTTGGACTGGATGGGCCTTTGGCCTGATCCAACATTGGCATTATGTTCTTAATCGCCCTCTGGCTCGTAGCCTGTCAAGTCTGCGGCCTTTCCTCCAGCCCAAGGGGCCTTCCCCCAACAGACATATTTCTTGGAAGAAGGCCCTTTGGAATGGAGGAAGATCTGAACTCAGCTGAGTACAGGAGAAAGGCTACAAGCCCACGTGCAAAGGCCAGGAAGAAACCCTGGGTCGTCACGGTTGTGCCACCAAAACTAAGTCCCTTCTCAGCCATGCAACGCGTTCCTTGACCCAGCTGTAACACGAGAGGTTTCTTTCCCACCGGTGGTTGCGGAAGTGGATGCAGAAGCGTAATTTTATGGCTGTCATGCTTGCCGAGGTAGGTTTAAGCACGGTATTGCTGTTCGGAAAATTAACATTCACTTTATCTCCTAGGAGCCATCTTGCGAAAGTGCGCCTTCTTGCCTTGTCAAAGGAGGAGATCGAAACCCTGCAGCAGAGGAGGAGTGTTCCATTGGCGGCCAAGCTCCGCTTCATCCCCAAAAAGAATGGGCTGCGACCCGTGGTCAGGCTGGATAGTCCGGTGGGAGCGGAGAAGTTCTGCAAGAAGAACAGAGACAAAAAGGTGGCTCTCTTTTGAATTAAATCACTAATATGGAGGTGGGTATGTGTGTGTCTGTGCCTTTAATGGAAACGGCGGGTGTGTGTGTGTGTCTGTGCCTTTAATGGAAACGTTTGTGTGGTGGGGACACAAACATATTCCCCTCTGTTGTTTCGTGAAAGTTAACACAGCTCTCCATGGGGCATCGCCATTTGGACCATTCTTGACCCACAGGGGGGAGGCGGGGGTCAAATAGGGCCTGCACGTAGATTGCCCCCATTTCTTCCCCTATGTTATCTGCATAGCGGGCTTAGGGTGGCGCACACATACCCGCTATTCTGCCGTGCAGAGAGAATTGGTGGCTTGGGAAGAATTACTTGAGTTTATTCAAATTAGTGTGTTACTGGGGCGCTCGCATATAATTGTTTGATGATCAAGTAACCTAAAGTTCTAAATACGTGTTTCCTGTAGTTGCAGGCATTTAAACAGGTATTTTAGTTTCAACTTCAGAGAGCCAGTTTGGTGTAGTGGTTAAGTGCGCGGACTCTAATCTGGGAGAACCGGGTTTGATTCCCCATTCCTCCACTTGCACCTGGCTGGATGACCTTGGGCAAGCCATAGTTCTGGCACAGCTGTCCTTGAAAAAGGGCAGTTTCTATCAGAGCTCTCTCAGCCCCACCTGCCTCACAGGGTGTCTGTTGTGGGGAGGGGAAGGGAAAGGAGTTTGTAAGCCGCTCTGAGACACCTTTGGGTAGTGAAGGGCGGGGTATAAATCCAATCTCCTCTTCTTCCTCTTCTCTTTATTATTTTCTATTCTATTCGGAAAAAGGGGGGGAAATCAATAAATTATTAAATATTACGGCTATTTAAAAACTTGTGCACAAAATTTAGCACCAGCTTGATTTAATTTTATTTATTTGCCGTATACCTCGCACTCCCCTGCAAGCAGGCTCCGGGCAGGTAACAATATTCTATTTGATTGATTTGCAGTCTCTCCGTATCACTAGAAAACAACAATTTAAAGATAACATAGTTAGTCGAGAACACTGAATGTCAGAATTAATGAAAGCTCCTGCTCTGTCGCACCTGGGTTTAACAAACAAGGGGCAATAACAACAACACGTGTGAGACAATTTCTGTTGCTCCAAGCACAAGAACACTTTCTTTCCATGCAGGGGACTGCCTTTAAGCCTTCCAGTATATTTGCTGTTGGAAGCGAATTGCATCTTGTTAATAAAATTGAATATGTATGTTTAGGTTTTGTGTAGTGATCAAATAGTTTGCAACCGTAAGACAAGTAGTGGGAATGTACTCATAATACAGAGGAGAACACTTCCCATACAAATCAGTCAGCAGCCCAGACCAATCTTGCGATAACATAATATAACAATAACATAACGTTGCTTATTGTATTCAGTAAGCTATCAGAATAATAATTAAATGAATTATCATCTGCTGAAAAACCCAACTCTCAGTTTGTCAAAAAAAAAGCATGAAGGCTTGATAAAAATGATTCTCGTCTTCTAAAGCATACTAATTGGTGAGGGGGTTCTAGCGAAACTGTTTTTAACCACATCTTGATAGCGTATCCCCATGTCATTGATCGTAGGGAGCACAACCCAGTTTCTAATCTGAATACTGGATTCCAGGCACAATTGGGAATCTCAATATGCTTCCCAAAAAAACCCTCTTGTGTGCAGTCTCTCAAGTTCTTTCGCATTCCTATGCAGCCATGAGTCCCTTATACAAGATTACAGGTAATAACTTAAGAGTTGTATAATTTGAGCAGTGCTGAAAAGGACTGTCCACCTTTTGTAAAATAAAATTTCCTGCAGGAATTAGGCAGAAGCTTGAAAGCTACTTTTTATATATTTTAAATGGATTTTCCATGACATGAGTGCTCCACAATGGATCCCCGGATACTTATAAGAATAGACTTCCTCAAACTCAGGCCACAGGGGGCCATGCCCCCCCTACAGGTGAGCACTACCCCCTCGATTTTTAAAAGATAAAACCAGAAACATTTTCAGAAATCGTTTTTTTTTTTTTTTTTTTTTTAAATTATGGACTTGTGATATAACCAGGGGTCATTTCGTAGAAAAAGAGGTGCAGGAGCTCATTAGCATAACTCATTAGCACGACTCATTTGCATATGCCACACCCCTTGACATCACTGGAAGTGTGTCAGAAGGAGTCACCCACCACTCAGGCTCCACTAGACTGTTTTGGATTATAGAGAGAGGCGGAGATTCCCCCCCCCCCGGCTTACATAGAAAACTAGCCCAGAATTGAGTCTCTCCAATCATAAAAGGACTAGAGGACTAGAAAAGGACTAGAGATCGCAGTGGAGCTGGAGCTGGAGCTGTTGTTTCTGTTGCTGCAAGGAGAGTAGTAGTGGCAGCCGGGGTGCCCCCCCCAGATGTCTATACGCCCCACCAACCAAAATTTTCTGGCTACGCCCCTCCTCAAACTCCATTCCCTGCAGCCTCCAAAGATCACCTGTCTCCAATGTTCCTTCTAAGCTGTGGAGTCTTGTGAGCAAAAATTCTGCTTTGTGAGCTACTGGCATTAAACTTGTGAGCAAGCGGTTGGGCTTCTGCATAAGTCAGTTTGCTCTGGAGCCCTCCTTCCTGAGCTAAGACAAAAATGCGTGAGCTGGAGGCTAAAAAACTGTGAGCTAGCTCACACCAACTCAGCTTAGAGGGAACACCGCCTGTCTCCCTGTTGTCTCTAGCAGGACTGACACTAAGTAACTCCATTTCACAGTACCTAGTCAGTGATAATAACGAGGTGTCATCAGTGTACAGCATTAGATTAGCTGAATGACATTGACTTTTGACAAAGAGGGTCTCGGGTCATTTATACAGAGTGCAAAGAGTGTTGGAGCCAAAATGTGTCCTTGCTGCACTCCTTTGACCACTGGGATTCTTTCTGTTAGAAGACCCTTGCTTTGACCATCGAACCTGTAAGGTTGTATTTTCTTGTACAATAATTGAATGAGATACAATAATCATCTGGAAATTGCATACATTTGTAACTCAGTCCATAGCTTTTCTCTACTTATTGTATCAAATGCTGACTTTCAATCAAAGAAGGTAGCATATAGTCTATTCATCTTTAGATATCTTTCAGCCAAATGTGATAAAATTATCCCACTATACATTCCAGAAAAGCCCATCCTAAAACCAAGCTGTTGTGGTCCCAAAATATTGCAACTGTCGAGCCAAGATTTCCATTTAAAGTCCAAGTGCACAGCATATAGCTTACCCAGAACAGAAAGCAGGCTAATAGATCTGTAATTTGCAGGGTCTGAGCAGGTGCCTCTCTTTTTATAGACGGGAACAATAATTGACGATTGCCAATCTGCAGGGATTTCACCAATGCTCCCTCTAAGCTGTGGAGTCTCGTGAGCAAAAATTCTACTTTGTGAGTTACTGGCATTAAAGTTGTGAGTGAGCGATTTGGCTGCTGCATAAAATTAGTTCGCTCCGGAGCCATCCTTCCTGAGCTTAGACAAAAATGTATGAGCCGGAGGCTGAAAAAACTGAACTAGCCCACACTAACTCAGCTTAGTGGGACACACTGGATTTCACCTTCAACACAGTGGAAAAAAGCAGCCAGGTGTGAGGCCCACCAAATGGGACTTAAAAGAAACCACTCAGGCAGAATACTGTCAGGGCCAGTTGCAGCTGTTTAATTAATGTGCCTTTGCCATGTAAACGCCTTAAAACTATTTTTAAATTACGTTTCCTCAGGTTCAGTACTTCAACATGCAACTTAAAAATCTATATAGCGTGCTCAAGTACGAACAAAAGAAGAATCCCGGCCTGCTTGGTTCTTCTGTCTTTGGGAAAGATGATATCTATGCCACATGGAAGAAGTTTGTTCTGAAAGTTTTGGAGTCGAATGCCCAAATGCCTGCATTCTATTTTGTGAAGGTATTCTTCTCTTGCATTTTTCGTTTTTCCTTCTTCCAAGACACTCAGGCAGTTTACGTGGGTTTCCCCTCCCGTAATTTTATCCTCACAGCCAGGGGTCATTTTCCTGCAGGAGCGCACAGGAGCGGAGCTCCGGCAGTAAAGAGCCCAGGGGGCGGGCACATGCAACAAGCCCCACCCCCTGCTCCCAGCAGCCCTCAGTCGGAGCAAGAAGCAGGCAGGTAAGTTGCAGGGCTCCCCCCGCCCCCCCGGTCCAAAACAGTCCAGTGGCACCTTTAAGACCAAGGTTTATTCAGGTACAAGCTCTCCTTCGTCTGCCAGGACAGATCTGCACGTTCCCCCCCCCCCCAATAGCTAGCAATCCAAAACAGTCCAGTGGAGCCTGAGCGGTGGGTGTTGCCTTCTGACACACTTCCGGTGATGTCAGGGGGCGTGGCATATGCAAATATGTTATGCTGATGAGTTTTGCTAATGAGCTCCTGCACCTCTTTTTCTACGGAATGACCCCTGCTCACAGCAACTTATGGAGAGGAATGTAGGTTAAGCTGAGAGAAGGACTGACTCAAGGTCACAGAAGAAGAGGAGGAGATTGGATTTATTCCCCTCCCTTCACTACTCGAAGGAGTCTCGGAGCAGCTTACAATCTCCTTTCCCTTCCCCTCCCCACAACAGGCACCCTGTGGGGTAGGTGGGGCTGAGAGAGCTCTTTCCAGAACTGCCCTTTCCAGAAAAGCTCCGAGAGAACTGTGACTGGCCCAAGATCACGCCAGCAGCTGCATGTGGAGGAGTGGGGGAATCAAACCCGGTTCTCCCAGATTAGAGTCCATGCACTCCTAACCACCACAATGAACTGGCTCCAGGCCTGGCTGTGGAGGTCACTGAGAGGCTCTAGGCCCGGCCATGGTGGTGGAGGATGCTAGGAGAAACTCTGGGCCCGGTGGAGGAGGGCGCCAGGAGACGCTCTTGGCTCAGAACAGCTCCCAGACCCTGCTGCCACTGCAGCCGATCCCGAAGGCCCAGAGCCCCACCTGACTCAGTGATAAGAAAGCTGCTCCGGGCCTGACACAGTGTCCTAACACCACTGCTGCCATGGCTGGTGAGGTAAGGGGAGGGGAGGCGTAGGTTGTTAGAGAAAGGGGGGGAGCCGTTCCCGAGAGAGCTCTCTCAGCCCCACCTACCTCACAGAGTGTCTGCTGTGGGGAGGGGAAGGGAAAGGGATTGGGAGCTGCTCTGAGACTCCTTCAGGTAGTGAAGGGCGGGGCATAAATCCAATCTCCGCCGCCTTCTTCTCCCCGGCAAACTGCCCCTGCCGAGCCCAGAGCAGCTCCCTGCAGCCACTGCCGGCAGCTGTACAGATAAGCTCATGCACAAACAACCTTTTAAAAAATTTTTTGGAGGGAAATTAAACCCCCTGGGGTTTTTTTTTACATTTCAGATTCTTCTGCAAACCCGTGGGGGCTCCCCCAAGCTTGCAGAAAAATCTGTTTTTCCTCAGTGTGGTCCTAATCCGTGGTTTTAGGTATCTGCCAACAGGGGCCAGGCTTCAGTCTTAGATATGCAGATGATACCATGCTTTTTCTCCCTCACGTAGCTTACAAAGTCCTTCACCCCTCCTCCATTTTATCCTCACAACAACACCCCCTGTGAGCGGTGTCATACTGAGAGACAGTGTGTGACTGACCCAGTGTCGCCCAGCATATTTTCATAGCAAAGTGGGGATTCGAACCTGGTACTGCCAGATACTAATCCAACCCTCTGTCAACTACAACACGCTGACTCTGTAACGTAACATATAATCTTCCAATGAATAGGTCTAACCGGGGCTTTTTTTTCTGGGGGGGATGCACCGGAACAGAGTTCCGGAACCTCTTTGACAATATATATATTCACCACTGTCCCATAACTCCCTTAAGGTTCACATAGCAACTTAAAACCACCAATGTCACCCAAATTCCAATTTCATACAGCATTTAAGGCAATAATATCTCTCGAATAAAAACTATTTTTTAATCTATTTGTCCTTGCTTTAATTGTCCTATATCTTCTGCCCGAAGGCAGCAGTTCAAACAGGGAATGTTCAGGATGTGACAAGTCCTGCAAAATGTTCTTTGCTTTTTTCAAACATCGAGAACTATACAATTCCTCCAGGGATGGGAGAGGGCAGCCAATGATCTCCTGGGCTGTAATAACAACTCTCTGGAGTGCTTTCCTCTCCACAGCCATACAACTGGCAAACCAGGCACAAACACAATATGTTAAAATGTTTTAAAGTTCATGAGTTTTCGGTATACAGAATGAAAATCTCGTTTCCCTCTTGAGAGTTCCGGCACCTCTTTTTAAAAAACATACAAACAAACAAACAAAACCCTGTGTCTAACCTTGTTCAGAGGATTACTTTTCTTAACTTTTGACTGCCGTCCAGTGTGCAGTTGAGAGCTTTTGAAGCGAGACCAGAGTTTTCTGGCCCCCTCGTGGCTAACGGGTTTTTATGCCAGCTCAGCTTTTGTGAATGAGAGCCCAGTTTTGTCATATGCCTGTAGAAAGAAACAGCTTTTTCCTCCCTCCCTCCCTCCTTTCCAGGCTGATGTCAGTGGGGCTTACGATACCATTCCCCATCGTAAGGTGGTGGAAGTGATTGCACGGATCCTGGGTCCCGATAACAAGACCAGCTATTGTATTCGACGTTATGCAGTGATTATCAGGGCGAAGAACGGGCAGATCATCAAACGATACCGGAGACACGTATGGCCAGCTATTCTCTCTCTCTCTCTCTCTCTCCCCCCCTCCTGTGGTGTTGGTGCTGTGTTGGTGCTGTGTTCAACTGCCTTCAGAGCAAGTTTGGTGTAGTGGTTAAGTGCGCGGACTCTGATCTGGGAGAACCAGGTTTGATTCCGCACTCCTCCACTCACAGCTGCTGGATGACCTTGGGCAAGCCATAGTTCTGTCAGAGCTGTTCTTGAAAGAGCAGTCCTCGAAAGAGCTGTCTCAGCCCCACCTACCTCAAAGGGTGTCTGTTGTGGGGAGGGGGAGGGAAAGGAATTTTGTAAGCTGCTCTGAGTGAAGGGTGTGGTACAAATCCAATCTCCTCTTCTTCAAAACCAAAGACTAATAAATTACGTACTCAAAATATGCCTTAGTTAGATAATCTCCCATGAAAAGTATCCTGAAGGGGTGGGGACGACAAATTGTGAGCCAGTCAGAGCAGTAATTGAGAGAGGGGTAGCCAAGCGACTCCAGGGCTTTCTGGGTGACACATCGACATTGGATCCGTTCCAGTCCGGCTTTCGCCCTTGACCATGGGACGGAGATGGTGTCAGTCACCTTGGCGGACGACCTCTCTTCACTTTGGGGTTTGCAAAACGGCTGCAGTTGGCAGCGATCTCGCCCCTCCCTCCCGGGAGAAAAGGAGAGGAGGTCTGTCCATTATGTCACAGGATCTGAGGCTGAGTGCTCTCCCCACACAGCTGAGCAGGCTCATGGGATACTGGCACACTGCCTTAAGACGGCTGGTCTTCCCCACAGACACTCTCCAGGGGGAAATCTCAGTTAGAATCATAGAAGCATAGAGTTGAGATGTGAAGGCCCGGAAAAAAACCAGAAAAATTC